TATATACACACACACACACACACATTTTTAAAGATTTATATATATATATATATATACACACACACACACACACATTTTTAAAGATTTTATTATTTATTTGACAGAGAAGAGAGAGAGAGTGAGAGAGCACAAGCAGAGGGAGCAGCAAAAGGAGAGGGAAAGTGAGGCTCCCCTGCGGGGCTCAATCCCAAGATCCTGGAACCATGACCTGAGCCGAAGGCAGACGCCCAACTGACTGAGCAACCCAGGCATCCCTGAAATTATATTTTTAAGTATATATTTTCTCAGTTTATGAATATGGCCAGCTCCCAACTTAATGTCCTTATGTAACTACAAGTTCTGAGGTCAAGTGCACTTCTGTGTACACACTCACATCTTGCACATGCTCACATGTATAAATGTGAGAAAGGACAGTAAGTGGCAAAACATCAAATTTATTAATTAGGGGAAGATATACATGCTATTCATTAGGAATAAAATATTAAACTCAATTCTATGCCATTCTTATCCCTTCCTGTAATGAATCTCTGGTATCAGACTGAAACTGCACAGTTTTTTCTTTCTTTTTTCTTTTTTTCTTTTCTTTCTTTTTTCCAGTTTGATAAATGGACAGACTCTCAACGGAGAAGAATCTTGACAGGCCTGTTAGAACGTTGCTCCCTGTCACAGCAAAAGTTCTGCTGTCGAAAGCTTCAAGAAAAAATTCCAGCAGAAGCTCTGGATTTTACTACCAAGCTTCCAAGGGTGTTATCTTTATACATCTTTTCTTTCCTGGACCCCCGAAGCCTTTGTCGTTGTGCACAGGTAAAGGCAAAGAATCAGTATACAATGTTTTATACTGATAGCCTAGAAAATTCTAAAATGAGAAAAAAAAAGCACATATGCAAAACCAAGAAATAGATGAGATGGTCAATATGTGTAGTCTATATAGTTTGAATTAACCCCAGTCTTCTTTGTGCCTCTGTATTTAGCGCTCAAAAGTAGATGTAAGATGTTGTAAGACATCATTAGTGTCCACAGAATAGTATTTGCTGGTTGGAGAGACATATATATGAAATGGTTCATCAGCAGAATAGTCTTATACTGCATAGCATACAACTAGAAAACAATTTTAAATTGTATAGTGTAGGCTATTCATAAACAGAAAACCTCAAAATAAGGTACTAGTGGGGTATGTACAAAGAGTACAAGACTAAAAGAGTTCTGGGGGCGCCTGGGTGGCTCAGTCGGTTAAGAGTCTGCCTTCGGCTCAGGTCATGATCCCAGGCTCCTGGGATGGAGCCCTGCAGGGGAGCCTCCCTCTCCTCCCTCTGCCCCTGTTCGTATGCTCTCTCTCTCTCTCTCACTCACTCTGTCTCTCAAATAAATAAATAAAATCTTTAAAAAAAAGACTAAAAGAGTTCAGTGAGTAGACTCGCTTCCAGTGACCTTGGAAAAGGGGCTGACTATTGTTTTCCTACAAATAAGTCCACGGTCTATTAAAGTATACTCCAATTCCTTACAAGATAAAACTGGTAGCCATTTTGTTGAGAATTTTCGTAGAGTCTGGTAACACTGGAAATTACTTGTTACCACGTGTTCATGTTCATAGATGTGTAACATAATTTTAGTCTTTAAAATTAAGAAAATGAATGCAGTAAGAAAGAGGAGTTACTCAATAAATGGTTTTGGGACAATTGGGCAGCTGTCTCAAAAAAGATTCTAGTAGGATAAAAGATTGGTATGAAATTAAGGGAAACCATTAAAGTACTCAAAGAAAACATAGGCAAGGAGGCCTTTGTGAGTATAATACCCTGAAACCTTAAAAGAAAATACACAATTTGGGATGCCTGGGTGGCTCAGTCGGTTAAGCAGCTGCCTTCAGCCAAGGTCATGATCCCAGGGTCCTGGGATCGAGTCCCACATCGGGCTCCTTGCTCAGCAGGGAACCTGCTTCTTCTCTCTCCTTCTGCTTGTGCTCTCTCTATCAAATAAATAAAATCTTTAAAAAAAAAAAGAAAATACACAATTTAAGGGTGCCTGGGTGGCTCAGTGGGTTAAGTGTCTGCCTTCAGCTCAGGTCATGATCTCAGAGTCCTGGGATCAAGCCCCACATCAGGCTTCCTGCTCAGTGGGGATCCTGCTTCTCCCTCTCCCTCTGCCCCTCCCTTCTGCTTGTGCATACTTTCTCTGTCAAATAAATAAATAAAATCCTTAAAAAAATAAATAAAATTTAAAAAAAAAGAAAGATTCCCTTTGATCCTGCAGTTCCCCTTCTTGGAGTGCCTCGATATGCAAAAATTGTCTGTATAAGAATACTGCAGTATTGTTTGTAATAGCAGAAGTTTGGAAACATTGGAAATGTCCACCATTAGGGGACTGGTTAAATAAATTGCAACAATCTTTAAGATTGATCATCAGCGAAAAAAGCAAAGGTGCAGAACTGTCCTACCACTTTTGAAAGAAAAAAGAATATATGCATATTTATTAATATAGGCCTAGAATGTTCCTGGAATGACACACAGGAGCTGTAGCAGTGGTTACATCCAGTGAGGGGAAGCAGTGACCAGAGGATGGGGATGAGAGAGAGACTCTCTTTTACCGCATGTCTCTTTGGATCTTTAAATTTAGTATTAATGGGGGCGCCTATGTGGCTCAGTCGTTAAGCATCTGCCTTAGGCTCAGGTCATGATCCTGGGATCCTGGGATCGAGCCCCGCATCACGCTCCCTGCTCTGCTGGAAGCCTGCTTCTCCCTCTCCCCTCCCCCTGCTTGTGTTCCCTCTCTCTTTGTCTCTCTCTCTCTGTCAAATAAATAAATAAATAAATAATCTTTAAAAAAAAATCTAGTATTAATGTACATATGTTACTTATTCCAAAAATGAAACATTCCTTAAAAGAGCATAGCATTCTAAATGTCCAATAGTAAGAGACTATCATATAACCATATGATGAATTATTGTATGGCCATTAGAAAACATGTTTTCCAAGAACAAAGATACTTATAATATGTGAAATGAAGAAAGCACAATTTAAAATTGTATATACAGGGGCGCCTGGGTGGCTCAGTTGGTTAAGCGACCGCCTTCGGCTCAGGTCATGATCCTGGAGTCCCGGGATCGAGTCCCACATCGGGCTCCCTGCTCAGCAGGGAGTCTGCTTCTCCCTCTGACCCTCCTCCCTCTCGTGCTCTCTGTCTCTCATTCTCTCTCTCTCAAATAAATAAATAAAATCTTTAAAAAAAATTTTAAAAATAAATAAAATAAAATAAAATTGTATATACAGAATTTCTGAATTTTGTTTCCTACATGCTTAGGAAAAAGAAAAGAACTGTCAGGTTAATAAAGGTCATCTCTGATTGATGGGGTAATGGGTATTGTTTTTCTTGAAAATCCTTGGAATTTTCCAAGTTTTGCACAATGAGAATGTTATCATTGGAGGGAAATGTTATTTGAAATCACTAATCCTGTCATATATGTGTATCATATGTCAGTCTTGCAAGATCTCAGCATTACATTTGTTCCTAGCCCTGCCTGTGAGGAAGACACAGGCAGTTGTCCTTCAGATAGATTTAAACAATACTGCCATTGCACTAAGATGACCTTTGAACTGTTTAAAAAGATGGGGGGGGCTGATAATTTTGAAAGCGCCTACCTACTCTTCAACTCTCCTCATTCGTGTCTACTTTAAAACAAAAAAACACCGAAAAGCAAAAACAAAACATACGAAAACCTTATCTACCCTGGGGGAATCAAAACCAACTTAATACCCAGGTCAAAACAAGATGTAAGGAAAAATGAGGAAAAGAGTGAGAACTGAGAAATTTTTCTCCTCATCCCCTCCCTGCAAAACCTCACCTTTCTGCTGAATTCTGAGTCAATTAACCATATGGGGATTAAAGTCGATGTTTCATTTCTGCGTTGAACAAAGTAGATGTGATTTCTGTTCCTGCCTGCGGGGCTCTGTCAGATTCTCTACCCTTTTTCATCCTTCCAGCTCCTGAACCTGTTATTTCTTGTAATTGTGCACTCCCCTCTCCTGTATGTCTCGTCTTCAGCACAGAAAACAATGCTAAACATAATGGAACTCAGCACTTGGTGGATGGAATGAGGGAGAATGGGAGGGCCAGATAAATGGATGTATATTACAGTGTTCTGCCCTTCTTTCTTTCTTTCTTTTTTTTGTGTGTGTGTGTGTGCTCAAAAATTATTAATGATTTAATTAATGTTGAAAAAGAAACCAGTTTTCCAAGGATGAAATTTGCATTGGAAGGTTAGGTGTCATCTTTGCAACTCTTATAGCCAAGACACAGAACCCCTAGTCCGAACTTTATACGTGATCTTGACCCTAGTTTTCAGCAAGACTTGTTCAAAATCTGGAGTAAGTTATTGTAAACACTGCTGCACAGAGTAGGGTCACCACCATCGTTTGCTGGATGTGTGAGATTAACCATAATACTGGGGGAATGGCATGTACAGAGCAAGGACTGTATGCTTTAGGGAATCTTAAAGGCTATGTAAGACACACCATATGATACCAGTAATTGCTTTCTGTTTATAAAATTTCTATTTAGTTAAATCATAAGAATGGAGAGAAAATGGAAGCATACCGGAATATGAGTAAACAATACACAGATTTGAGTTTCTATAACCCTTATATAACTTTCAACTTCAGGAACTTCTAGGAAGCTCCAAAATCTATCTGAGCCACAGTCCTCTCATTTGCAACATGAAAGGAATAATTACACCTGCCTCCTTAGGGGGGTGGTTAATAGGTACTTGATAAATATTAGTTGACTCTGAATCTAAGTGTGATTTAACATTTAAAGAAAATCCTTCTGCCTGGGTAGGGAGCACTTCAGGTAGGTAACTTTTTAAGCTTTGATTTGGAGGAAAAAGTTATCTCAGGTCTAGGGTGACAGCTGAAGACCTAGAGATAATGGGTATGAAGACTGAGTAGGGCTTTTTTTTCCTTTCCAATCGTTTTTCCAGGTGAGCTGGCACTGGAAGAATTTAACTGAGCTGGATCAGCTCTGGATGCTCAAATGTTTACGATTTAACTGGTACATCAATTTCTCTCCAACTCCCTTTGAGCAGGGTATATGGAAGAAGCACTACATTCAAATGGTAAAAGAACTTCATGTTACCAAGCCTAAGGTAAATTTGGGGAAAAGCAACAAACACAAATATCAGCTATTTAGGAATACGGAAGGGGGGCGGTGAATGGGTTAAACAGGTGATGGGGATTAAGGAGGGCACTTGTGACTGAGCACCAAGCAGCGGGTGTTGTATGGAGGTGTTGAATCACTAAATTGTACACCTGAAACTAATATCACACTGTATGCTAACTGGAATTTAAAAAAAAAAAGTATGGGGCACCTGGGTGGCTCAGTCGTTAAGCGTCTGCCTTCGGCTCAGGTCCTGATCCCAGGGTCCTGGGATCGAGGCCCGCATCAGGCTCCCTGCTCAGCGGGAAGCCTGCTTCTCCCTCTCCCATTCCCTCTGCTTGGGTTCCCTCTCTCCTTGTCTCTCTCTGTCAAATAAATAAGTAAAATCTTAAAAAAAAAAAGGAATTCTAGAACTAAGAAGTTGGGGAGGGGAATAATGAGTATACTAAAGTTCTTTTTAATCTAGAACCTAAGCAAGTAAGCAAAGGAAATACACTATTCAAAATTCTCCTTTTCTGAGAACTCGATAGCCTTTTTCAAGACATCCATGTTAACTGAGAACCCTCATCAGACACTCTTAAACCAGCAGTTTCCCAGGAGGTTAGGACCGTGGAGCTGCTTACTCTGTTCGGATTCCTGGATTTCCGTATCTGACTCACACACCAGGCAATTCTGACACTGGGACTCTGTGGGTATTGTGCAGTATTTACTATCAATGGATCATCAAATTCTACTTTATTAATTCAAATTTTCTGATTCTACCAGGTGAGCTAAAGGTTATTTTTATATCATTTACAAAGAAAAGTTTTCCAATAAATCCATAATTTTGAAAGGGAATAATGATTATACTAAAGTTCTTTTTAATCTAAAAACTAAGCATGTAAATCATTTACATATAATGATAAAAAGTAAATAATGCAAGAATAATTTTTCTAGTTGTTTTCTCTGCATTATAACCAGTGTTTATGTTCATTCTTAAAGTCACAGTTAATTAGATAACTCATGGGAAAATTTTATGAGCCTTTTCTTTATGGTATGATCTATACACATGCAGAGCTATGCATCGTTTTGTACAATAGATGAGTTCCTGAAAAATTATGTGTAAATTAAATTTTTTAATGATTTTTAAAACCACAGGGGTATCATATTCTATGAAAAAATTGCAGTGAATCCTTTTAAAAATGAGGAATCCTTTTGAAAGATGAATAGTCAACTCCTAGCTTGTTCGTTTAGGTTTAGTTTTATTGTTTTAAAGTAGAATCCATCTACATTTAGTAGAGTAATAAACTATGCATAATTAATCCTGTTACAATTGCAGTGATAAAACTAGCCTTTCTGATTTCAGTAATTGGTGTGCTCCATGAGGATGTCTTTTAAAAAGGAAACTTAAACTGCAGTGATGGAAAAAGTTATTTTAAAAATTGCCATAATTATGATTTCTTTTCGAGATTTGATAAGGCTTTTTTTTCTTCACTCTCATTTTCAGTTAGGGGCAGGGAATGGCATTCAATAGCTGAAGCTTGGGCCATTCTGGGACAAAGAAGAGAAAAGTGATTAACCAACTTCTAGAAGGAAAAGAGGTTTTGAGTATTATTTATAAAACTGACTCGAAAGCTTTGTCTTCAGCCATAATTCTTTTCTATAAAATGTGCATAACTATATTTTAAAATGATGAATCATTCTGATGCAAGAAAATTGCCACCTCTTTGCTCTGTATTAAATTTCTTTAGGGAACACTTTGTTATATTAAAAGTTAGTTTTTCTGTTTAATAAATAGACCTAAGTCAGAAAGACTAAGGAGTCATGTGAGTAACGTTAATAAAGTCATGTGACTAAAGTTAAAAAGTCAACTGTCAGCCCTATGCATACTTGAGTAATTTGGGTAATTCCGTGTGAGGTTGCTCCAGTGATGGTGAACGTAGGCAGCCACTGCATTAGAGCATAATTTACCTTCACTCAAGCACCTTCCCTGGCTCCCTTTCCCTCAACACCCTATACCTGGCAGGTGCTCCAGCAGAGCTTTTGAAAGCATTTTATGAGCAAATGGTTGTGGCTAATTTTAGTTTCCCCAACCTTAAAATGAGAGGACTGGACTAGAATGATCTTTATAACTGTCTGTCAGGCTATGCTCTATCTACTCCAAACAGCATAATTTCAAAAAGACTTCATCTAGAAAAAGAGGAGTAAGTTGAACCCAAAGTAGATAGAAAGAAGAAGTAATAAAGAGCTAAGATCAATGAAATTAGAACAAACAATGGAGAAAATCAGTGAAACCAAAGCTGCTTCTGCAAAAACATAAACAAAATTCCTAAGTTTCTAGGTAGGCCGATGTAGGAAAAAAGAGAAAACATAAATTACTAGTAACAGAAATGAAAGAGGGGGCATCACTACAGATCCTGTAAACATGAGAAGAATAATGAAAGAATATTATGAACAAGTCCATGTCACTAAATTCAACCACCTGGATGAGATGGACAATTCTCGAAAATACAGTTACAAAAACAGCCTCATTAGGAAATAGAAAACATGAATAAATCTTTATCAACTTAAAAATCAAATTCATAATTTTCCACAAAACTCCAGACCCAGATACCCTCCTTGGTGAATTCTATCACACATTTAAGGAAGAAATATCAATTCTAAATAAACTCTTTCATAAAATGGAAGACAAGGGAATGCTTCCCAACTCATTACCTTTATACCAAAACCAGATGGGGCCTTTACAAAAAAACAAAACAAAATCACAGATTAATATCCTTCATGAACACAGACATAAAAATCCTTTAAAAATATTAGCATAGGGCGCCTGGGTGGCTCAGTTGGTTAAGCGACTGCCTTCGGCTCAGGTCATGATCCTGGAGTCCCGGGACCGAGTCCCACATCGGGCTCCCTGCTCAGCAGGGAGTCTGCTTCTCCCTCTGACCCTCCCCCCTCTCATGCTCTCTCTCTCTCTCATTCTCTCTCTCAAATAAATAAAATCTTTAAATAAATGAATAAATAAAAAATAAAAATATTAGCATATTAAATCAAGTTCTATACAAAGAATAATACATGATGACCAACTAGGAAGTATCCATGGAGAGTAAGGTTGGCATAACATTAAAAAATTAACCAATGTAATTCACAGAATAAAAGAGAAAGGATGTATGATCATTTCAGTATATGCAGACAAAAGCATTTAACAAAGTTCAACATCATTCATGATTTTAAAAATTCTCAAAGGCTTTAGGTGAAGTGAACAAAACTTTTGTTTACTTAATACAGAAAAATCATCAGTTTTCATTATATCCTCTTTTGTTAGTGTCAAGCGTTTTGTTATTTTTCAGAATGGATAATGTTTATTTATATATAATTACTAGCACTTATGCCTAAATTTTTTCCCCTGAAACTTCTTATTATCATGTATTATTTATTCCCAGTAGTATTAAACTAAGCCTTCTTCAGCAAAAACAGCTTTTGTTCAATATAAGCTCAGAGAAATGAAAGGAATGTCCATGCTAAATGAGACCTGAACAAAATATTGAATACCAAACCAATAATGAGCTATCAATTATATAAATATAAAATGTCATCTTAATTTACTAAACTACAATCATTTATTAATTTAATAAATATTTATTAAATACTGTTATGTGCTAGGTGCTGAGTATAATGATCCTGACCCTGCTTTCAAGGAGCCATGTCTAGTGGCCTAGGACATAGACAACCACATATTTACAACAGAAATATATACAAAGAACAGTTGAAACAGATAAGAAACTGATGCTGCTTGATGGGATGGGGGAATTTCTTAATTATCACAAACAATTCAAGCAAACCAATTTACCACACAAAGTTTCCCTAATCTCTTAAAGAACAAAAATTAAGCCTTTAATGGCTTCTCAACATACCATTACCACTTCCCTTAGGTTACAACCACATAAAAACCTTATGAATTTCACACACAAAAATAGACTTTCCATTTGGGAAATTAAAGCAGAAGTATTCTTTGAGAGCAGTTAAGATTTTGATAACTGATAAAATCTACAGTCTACCTCTGTATAACTCAAAGTTGTCCCTACGTGCTACAGATAATTAAGCCTGGAGTACTATTTTTGAAATGTGTACGTTTTTATGAGTCAATTAACTGCACTTGTGGAAAACTTATACAATGATGTGGTAGGCATGGTAGCAGTCCAGGATAGAGAGGGTTAGTACAAGGACTTGAAGCAAAACAGTACTAGATTCACATTCTGACCCTCTGTCTTAACCACTTAGGTAGTAGTGGGCAAGTTCATTGGCTTATTCCATCTTCAGTTTCCTCTTCTGTAAAATGGGGTAGTTACTATTACCTTTTAGAGTTATTATGAAGGTTAAATAAAATGATGCATGAAAACTTCCTGAGACAGTACCGGGCACATACAAGGACTCCTGGGTTGGTGGCTGCTCTAATTGTCACCATGATCATTGCAGTCATGGTGATGATGTCGATGATGATGATGATGGTATGATGATGTTTTATTGTTAATTATTACAATGTTTTAAGAACAGAAATAATTAGTTTTCTTCTTCCAGACACCTCCAAAAGATGGGTTTTCCATTGCCAACGTTCAACCAGTTACAAGCAATTCTGCAGAGGAAAAGCAGTCCCCTGCATCAGCTTTCAGGTCCTCTTCCTCTTTGAGAAAGAAAACCCACCCAGGGGAGAAAGAGCTCCCACCCTGGCGATCTTCTGACAAGCATCCAACTGATATCATTCGCTTCAATTACCTGGACAACTGTGACCCCATTGAGCAAATCTGGCAAGGGTGAGAAACTCCATGCTCTTCCTTGTTAGAAACAGTTTGCTGGCACTTAAGTATATGAAAAGAGGAAAAAAGCGTTTCTTGTGAAATACAAATGCTTTTCAATACATAGAAGTAAAAAGTCATTGAAAAGTAAATGAACCATTATTGGTAAATTTACCCTGTTCATCAGGATTTGTTTGCATATTGTAGCTATCATGATTTAACATTACAGCTTCTTTTAATATTTAATACTTCAAATTTCAATCTAGCACCATAGAGTTCATTCTGGTCTTTTCCTTTTTCATATCTGCACCTCCCTTCTCTGACAAGGAGAAACCTGGCTCTCATGTTTATTTATACAAATTATATATGTACATATAATATATAATCAAAACTATATAGGTACATATATAACTTGTATAAAAATTGTATACTATATAATATAATCAGCACATATATATAAACAGTATATATTTACTTAAAATTCTGAAAGTAATTTCAAAACTGCTAACCCATTTCATTATTTTTTTTTTTAAAGATTTTATTTATTTATTTGAGAGAGAGAGAGAATGAGAGATAGAGAGCACGAGAGGGAAGAGGGTCAGAGGGAGAAGCAGACTCCCTGCTGAGCAGGGAGCCCGACATGGGACTTGATCCCGGGACTCCAGGATCATGACCTGAGCCGAAGGCAGTCGCTTAACCAACTGAGCCACCCAGGCACCCCTAACCCATTTCATTATTAAAACAAATCTGCAGGGATGCCTGGGTGGCTCAGTTGGTTCAGTGGCTACCTTTGGCTCAGGTCCTGATCTCAGGGTCCTGGGATCGAACTCTACGTTGGGCTCCCTGCTCAGAGGGGAGTCTGCTTCTCCCTCTGCCCCTCCCTCTACCCCTCCCCCTTGCTTGTGTGCTTGTGTGTGAGCGCACACACTCTCTCTCTCTCTCAAAAAATAAACTCTTTTTTAAAAAAGATTATTTATTTATTTGAGAGAGAGAGAACACAGCAGGGAGGAGGGGCAGAGGGAGAGCAGGGAACCTGACATGGGGCTTGATCCCAGGACCGTGCGACCATGACCTGAGCCAAAGGCAGAGGCTTAACGACTGAGCCACCCAGGCACCCCTTCATGAACTTTAAATTCATCTAGTTGTATCAGAAAAAGTCTAATTAGTTTGCTTATAATTTAGAAAATACTGGGCAGAAAAAACAAGGTACAAAACAGAGCTTAAAAAATACTACCATTTATATTAAAACAGGTGGAGAAGAAAAAAAATGTATATATATTTATAAAATATCTCTGGAATATACACAAGAAACTGATATGTATTGTTTGCCTTAAGGAGGAGAATGGCAAGTTAGAGACAAGGATAGATAGACAAATTTCACTGTACATCCTTTTGAACTCTTGAATTTTGAATCATCGTGAATGTATTGACTATGTATTGATCAATGTATCCCTGAAGATAGTATTTAAGAGTTTGTATGTGGCCCTTAGTCTGAACTATTGTGGTAAATAAGAAAGAGGCAAACTTAGATACCCAGGCATATGAATGGTACATTAACATGAGATAAAGTGATAATGTCTTGAGTTTTCTGTGACCTCAAATACTGTTTGTGAAAGGCAATAATTACATTAAATATTAATGTACTGGACACCCAATTAATAGGTAGAGATTATCAGAATGGATAAGAAGGCAAAAACCAAATGTACACTTTTTATAAGAGACACACCTTAAATTTAAAGACACAAATAGATTTAAAAATGAAGTGATGGAAGAAGATGTACCATGCAAAGAAAAAACATGAGAAGGCTAGAATGACCATTAATTTCAAATAAAACAGACATCAAGACAAAGAGTATTATCAAAGATAAAGCAGGACACTTCATAATGATACAGGGATTAACTAAGCAGAGAGATATAACTATTACAAAGGCATATGTACCTAATTACAAAGCCTCAAAATACGTAAGACAAAAATTGACAGCTTTAAAGAGATAAATAGACAATTCCACAAACACATTTTTTTAAGTGCATGTGCTACATTCACCAAAATAGACCAGATGCTTGGACTCTTCAAAGAGTCAGTGCCATGGGGGAAAAAAAGAAGTGGGGAAAATATTCTAGACATAAGAGACATAACAACCAAAAGCAGTGTGAATCTAGATAGGATTCTGATTTTTTAAAAAAGACTATAGAAGGCATTCTTGGGACAATTGCAGAAATTTGAATATGACCTGAATATTAAATGATATTAAAGAACTACCATTCATTTTCCAAAGTATGATGATACCAATGTGGTTAGGGAGGCAAATGTCTTTATCTTAGGAGATGAGTATTGAAGTATTTAGGGGTGAAGTGTCTGCAATTTGTTTTCCTATGGTCTGGCAAAAATACATATATACATATATATGTGGCATGTGCATGTATATATGTATCTATGTATATATAGAGAGAAAGCAAAAATAGCAAAATGTTACTAATTGTTGAATCTAGTTGGAGAGTTTATGGGTAATCATTGTGCTATTCTTTCTTTTTTTTTTTTTTTAAAGATTTTGTTTATTTATTTGACAGAGAGAGAGATAGCGAGAGAGGGAACACAAGCAGGGGGAGTGGGAGAGGGAGAAGCAGGCTTCCCGCCGAGCAGGGAGCCCAATGCAGGGCTCGATCCCAGGACCCTGGGATCATGACCTGAGCTGAAGGCAGATGCTTAACGACTGAGCCACCCAGGCGCCCTGTGCTATTCTTTCAAAGATTTTGAATGTTTGAAACTTCTTAATTAAAAATTGGGGGAAATTTTTACAAATTAAGCAATAAGAAATATTTGGGAAAGCTGATCTTTTTAAATAAAATTTTTTATGGGGTGCCTGGGCGACTCGGTTAAGCAATCCAACTCTTTATTTTGGCTTGGGTCCTGGTCTCCTCCTCATTGGGCTCTGGGCTCAGCATTGAGTCAGCTTAAGATTCTCTCTCCCCCACTGCCCTTCCCCCTGCTCTCGCTCACTCTCTTGCTTTCTCTGTCTCTCAAAATAAATAAAATCTTTAAACAAACAAACAAATAAATAAAAGTTTTTATAGTGGAAATTCAAATATATAAGAGTAGAGAGAATACAACTGCTTGTAACCATCAGCTAGCATTAATGGTTTTGAACTCATGAACTTATCCCTCACCCACTCTGCCCTTCCCCCAGGTCACTTGGGAGACAAATATAAATGTCATATTATTTTATTCATATATATTTCAATCAATGCCTGTCCTTAAAAGATAACTCTTTCTAAGAATCATAGTATGATATATATCACATCTAAATCAATGGATGATTTCACAATATAATCAATCAAATATCAAGTCAGTTTTGAGGTATCTTTGAATGTCTCATAAATGATATTTTTAAACATTTGGCTTTTTTAATCAAGTTCCAAACAAGGTCTGGGAGGGTTGTATTTAGTCCATGCATCACTTAAGTCTTTTTTGGATCTAGAGGTGCCTGGGTGGCTCAGTCGGTTGAGCATCTGCCTTCCGCTCAGGTCATGATCCGGGGTCATGGGATGGAGTCCTGCATCAGGCTCCCTCCTCAGTGTGGAGTCTGCTTCTCCCTTTCCCTCCTGCTTGTGCTCTCTCTCTCTCTATCAAATAAATACATAAAATCTTTAAAAAAAAAAAAAGTATTTTTTGGATCTATAAGCTTACCCTCTGTCCTTTTTCTTCCCCCCTTGCAATTTGTTTGTTATAGAAATCAGGTCATTTATCCTGTAGAGCTTCTCACATTCTGAATTTTGCTGATTGCACTCCCAACATGCAGCCTAACATGTTCTCTGTCTCCTGTACTTGGCCATACTGGTGGTCCAATCCAGAGGCTTGAGTATATCAGATCATGTACTTCCATCACGAGGCACGTGATTTCTGGTTGTCTCCCTTTTTTGTGATGTTAGTGTCTATCGAGGACCATGGCCTAGATCCATTACTATAGGCAAACTTTTTTGGAGAACACCAGACAAAAATACATTAGGCTTTACAGGACGTGTTTCTGTCACAACTGCTCAACTCTGCCATTGTAGCCTGAAAATAGCCAAAGACAATATGCATGACGATGTCCCAATTTAGCTTTATTTACAAAGACAGTTGGGCCAACTTGGCCTCTGGGCTATATAGTTTGCTGATCCCTACTTTATCTGAATATATATGATAGTTTTAGAAAACCAATACTAATACTAATTCAAACAATAGGATTACTAAAAACAGTTTAAGATTTCTTTGCCTGTGTTTTTGTCCTTGGGATAGATTCTACTAAGGATATTCAGACAAATTACTGTGTTTAAAGTCCCATGAGGTAATCCCTCTCTGTGTAATAATACCACCAGCTCCAGAGACGAGATTGTTCCTTTCATTTTGTTCTTAGATTTTAGGGATTTTCTTCCTTTGTCTTATTTTATAATTTTGAGAAAAATTGAGCAGGTTCCAAAGTCAAATATATAAAGCAAAGTGTATTTGGAGAAGTCTAGTTTCTGCTCCTACCCCTCCATTCTGTTCTTTGTTCTTGATTGGATCGCAATGGGAAGCCCACTCATAGGTAACCATTTTTCAAGATGTTATGGTATAGTCCTTCCACTTAACAAAATTTTAAGCAAATACATCCGTTTCTGAAATAAATGGTAGTACACAACACATACCATTTTATTCACCTTTCTTTTTTTCATATAAGAATAATATCCTGGAGATCACCCCCCAGTTGGATGTAATAATACCCCGCTTTCCTTTTTACAGCTCATAGTGCTCTACCGTGCAGATGGGCCGGAGTTGATTCAACCAGTTCTCTAGTGATCTACATTTCGCTCATTTCCAGTTGAGTAAAAACAATCCTTTAAAATCACAGGAAGAACCAAGTCCAACAGACAAATAGCTATGCAAATTTAAAATGATTGTTTGTAATGTTCCAATGATTTCTAATTTACAGAAGGAGAAAAAGACATGAAATGAACCCAGATTTCAGTCGACAATCGCATGATAAGAAAAATAAATTGCAGGACAGATCTAAGCTAAGGAAAGCACAGTCACTGGTAAGTATTGCTTATAAAAGCTTCTGCACCGTAACATTTATGAAAATTGCTAGATCACTAATCCTATTTGTGAAATAAAATTTTTTTTTTTTTTAATCAGAATCATCAAGTGGTGGTTTAAATTCTGGTCTCTGACGGACAAGCTGTGTGACCTTGAAGGCATCCTTTATTTAATTTCTCTAAGCCTCTATTTAAAAAAATTTTTTTTTATTTAAGTATAGTTGACACACAGTGTTACATTAATTTCAGGTGTACAACATCATGATTCCACATCTCTAGACGTTATGCTGGGCTCACCACAAGTGTAGCTCCCATCTGTCACCGCACAACACTATAATATCAGTGACTATATTCCCTATGTGCTACCTTTTATTCACATGAGACTCTAAGTCTCTATTTTCTCATCTGTAAAAAAAAAAAAACAACTGGATGAACTGAAGTGTATGAATCTGCTGTGAAAAGTACACAATATAAAGGGAACATTGTTATCAGGGGTTCTTTCTTCTGCTGTGAGTCTTTTGGGGTGGGGGGAGGATGGGCTATAGAAATGTCTTTATATAAATTACTTACCTATAGGGGCACCTGGGTGGTTTGGTTGGTTGAGCATCTGCCTTCCGCTCAGGTCATGATCCCCGGGTCCTGGCTCCCTGCTCAGCGGGGAGTCTGCTTCTCCCTCTCCCTCCCCCTGCTCGTGTTCTCTTTCTCTCTCACTCACTGTCTCTCTCAAATAAATAAATATCTTAGGAAAAAAAAAGAAATTACTTACCTATAGAGTGAAGGTTCCACTTACCTGAGAAAAGGTGTACTTTCCATAGCTTTCCTGCAACCAGTAGAGCATGATTATAAAAGTACATTTCAAGTAACTTCAGAAAAAATGAATGAGGAACTTTTCTTTCCCTAATTAAAAAATAGCTAATTGACTACCTAATAAAGTCAGTGATTGTGACTAGGGAGCATTATTATTTCATAGCAGAGGTTCCCAAATTGTGGTTCTGTACCCCCAGTGGATCCCTCTCAGCCCATAGGAGAGTCTTTGGAGCAAAGTAGAAGGGAATAAGGGTGGAATAAAAAGTTCACTTTAGAGTAAAAATCTAGAAAGAAGCTGAGGATACACACTTAAGGAAAATTAATATAAAATGGATGTCAATTGGGAGAGGAACAAGTACATACTCATGAATAAATCACTTTTATAGCTCAGTTTTAAAGCTCTATTACTTTCTGTTTCAATGTATTTTCAAGTGTTACATTTAAAAAAAAAAGCTTTTTTAAAATGAGCTTTTTTAAAAATAGGGCAGTCTGTATTCTGAGGGGCCAATTTTGTTGGACTGGTTGAGGCTTATCACAGACATATGTACAGATGCCCAAGGGAATGGAGAAGCTTAAAGCAGAGCAGTAAAATTGTCAGTGAAAACCATTAATTGAGAAAAATAACTTCATAAGCCTTATCACACAGGCCATTTAGGCATGCTTCTGCCTGGTTTCCCGGCCTCTTCTAGGCCAGGAGTAGCAGAGAAATCTGGGGGATAGCCGGGAATTTAAAGGACGATAAAAGTTGATGGTTGATGTATGCTTACAAATTATCAGCCCAATCAAACATTTCTCTGGCTAAAAACACAAAACAAAATCAAAGGCTAAACAGAAGACTTCCCCAGGGGCTTTTGACATTAACCATCTGTCACACACTTGGAAGGGCTTGCTTAAGTTAAAAAATTCATTATATTTCTAAACTTTAAAAGTTGTGCTCATTAAGGCTGGAAGGGAAACCGGGGCAAATTAAACAATGATGGAGAACAATGAAGCCATTAATAAAATGCAGTGTGCACTTGGATTGATCTACTTGTATTTTTATGTAAATGTACTAATTATCATCACTAATTATGCTTAGCGGTTTTGATTAGGAACATAAGGCATAATCGAACCCTCCAGAATTGTGCTAAGATCTTTCTGTTGGTAATGATTCCTGGGACAAGCCTGGCCATGTTGGGCCTCGAGGCTGCGAGTGGCTCAGGCCCAGTCTTCACGCAGTGCCAGTTTGCCCCCGCCGTGGGCCATGCGGCTCAGAGGAAATAAGCAACCTCCTCAGAGATGCAAGACGGTGGTGAAAACTTGGAAATGCTGGATGTGGGACCTGAGAGAAGAAGAAATGGGTTTTGAAGAAATGGGTTTTGAGGAAATGCAATGAGGGGACAGAAGGAGAGAAGGCAGTAAAACTCTGAGAACTGCCACTGTAGAGAAAGAGGGTGGTGGATACAGCCCGGTACAGTTGCAATGGAGAGAACCCTGTGTTCGTTTGACATGGCAAGTTCTCACATCATTTAGATAGCTGTACGCAGGAAGGTTTCAGGAGGAACTAGGGAAACAAGTGAGCAGGCAGAACTCAGGGGAACACATGATAGAGGTGAGGATAGGAAGGACAGACAGACAAAGCTGCCCAGAGGTACCTGAGACCTGAACACTGAGTATTCCTTGCCCCTGTAAGCAGAAAATATTTGGAGAAGGCAGAGCTTCGTGAAATGGAAGGGTTGGAACAGAAAAAAGCATGGAGGAGTACAGAGACTATCCCTTGAGCCGTCTCCTTCTTCACTTTTTGCCTTCCATGACTTACAGCTTTCAAATATGAGTGACACCTCCAAAAAGAGAAACCTGCTTAGGGAAACAGTTTCGAAGCCAAACAGTGAGCTTGTGATGTTTTCTATTATTTAATAGGCTTGAGTTTTCAAGACCCACCCCTTAAAAGTGTACCTAGTTGCCTCTTAAGGCTTTCAGTTCTAAAGCTGCCTCTTTACAGCTGCTTCATTTACCCACCTTTGGTGGGAATCACTGATAGAATAAAGCCTAGATCTGATCACTAATGCTTTCTGATTTTGAAGATGGTTTATTAAAATTAGGTAAATATCAAGAAATGTCTATTACACTTAGTTATGATAATAAAATTCCATACAGAACAAAGCAATTAAAAAATAGAAACACTACCACAGTATAGCAAGTGCTACTATCTTAATCAAACTTCAGAAATTTTCCCATCGTGTACAAAGACATAGGGAAAAATTTTTTTTTTTTTTAATCTTAACAGTTGGACCTGCAATGCCTATTTGGGAAGGGGAAGGAGGGAGCTGTCTCCTGGGGTTTGGTGTGGGGGGCTGGGGAAGCCTCCCTGATGAGCTTGTGAGGAGGGATGCCACCTTGAGCGCTTGGATTCTATAGGCACCTGGACTTCAGAGGCGGGGAAAACCTGCTCTGCAGGAGATTAGAGGAAGTTTGTTGTTTCTGCTCCTGCGTGGGAGGGGGTGGCGAAGGAGGGGGAAGGAGAGAGAGAGCCAGCCAGGTGGAGAGAAGCTCAGACAGGTAGGGGAGCAGGGTCAGGATCCATTCTGATTGAATTTATTTGCTGTTGCTGGGATGTCAACCCCGCCTTCCATCTCTACAGTAAATTCTCAATTTACACATGAAAGCAAGATCTCAGAAGTCTAGAAGACCAGAAAAACAAAAGTCCCTGGGACCATTGGGTAGGCTTTGGACTTCCTGGGGCCTGGAGGTAGACTCAGATGACCCCAGCCCACATCTTGTTTCCTGTCATTTTTCCTTTTTTCTTTTTCCTACCAAGTTAAGTATAAAAACCTGAAGTACCTTTTATCTCACATTCAACGTTTACTTGGAGACTAGAAGTCGTCACTTTCTAGGTTCTGATTTGGCCACGGATTTCAAAAAGCTTGCTGTTTCAGAGCATTCACCTAAATACAAGTAACACAAGCCTTGAATTGCCCTACTCTAATTGCTTTAGATAAGACCTTATCTTTTTCTGTGCTCGGCTAATTCCAGCCTCTGCACTTACCTTCTTCAACACTTTCCAAGATAACTTGATTCTTAGTGTTCTGGTTTTTTTAAATGCTTCTGCAAGCTTTCTCACCTTTTTCTTTTTTTCCCTCTCTGAGTCCGAAGAGGAGGAAAAAAGAATATTCTCTACAGTGATACCTGATTCTTGTCATGGAAAGAACAATGGCTTAAGAATCAGGAAATCCAGAGTTCTGGCCTCTGCTCTACAATTAACTAGCAGTCACTCAGCCTGTGAGTTTTCATTTTCCCATTTATGAAATGAGAGTTTGGATTCCAACATCTTTAGAGTCCCTTCCAGGCTACAGTCTGGAGCTGTGGGACCCCGCAGTCCGCTACACGTCCGCCCCCTGCTCTCTTCTGATACCTGAGGGACACAGCTGCAGCTAAAGTGACTTTACATAGAACGCCAGAAAGAATCCATCCCCCTCGTGAGTTCCTATGATCAACCAATCAAAACTAGTTTCTGTCTCCTTTCTTCTTGGAGCTTTAGAAAATACAGTTGATTCTAACAGAAGTGTTTACGAAACAAATGTATGTCGTGTTCGTCCTGCGGGCAGTCTTTAATAGATTTCTTTCAAATTCTGATGACTTCCCCAGGTATTTGTTTTCTAATGTCTATTTGGTTTGGATGTGCAGAACTAGAAATCTCTATGGGAGATTTTTTAATCATTTAGCTCAAGCAGTGAAATTCCTGAGACTTCCATTTGGAACGCAGAGTAAGAAAGAACATGGGCTTTGCCCTCCGACAGACTTGAGCTCTTTTAACGAAATGATGTGACTTTGGATAAGTTACTAAACCTTTCTGAGCCTCCATTTCTTCATCTGTAAAATGGGAATAATGATAACTCCCTTGCAGGATTGTGATTTGGCCATTTATTAACCCCTGGGAGGTTCTGTCTCCTCGTCTGTTAAATGGAGTTAGGAATGACACTAACCTCCCAAGGCTGGGAGGGGGGATGGAAAGCATTTAGGTTAGTGCCTGGCTCAAAGAAGCCTTTGGTAAATAGTAGCTAGTATGGGTAATAGCAGTAAGCAAGATCAAAATCCCACCAGATCAGGACCAGAGGCGCAGGAGAGAAAGAAGGTAAGCTGCAGAGGGAGGGGTCAGCCAGGCAGCTAGGGGGCCTTGGCAGGAGGCTCCAGCCTATGGAATAAGCTTCTCCTTCTTGCTTTTACTTTTGCTTCCCCTCAGTTAT